ACACATACACACTACATTATACACACACACACACACACACTGCATTCATTATATAAACAAAATAAATATTCAATTAATGTAATCTTTTTGGGATCTAATTTTATTTAGAAATTTACCAGTAGCTACTGCATTTCCCACCCTAGTCTTATACTTGAGTCAATATGTTTTCCCAGTTTTTTGGGGTAAAATTAGGGGTCTCGACTTATATTCGGGTGGACTTATACTCGAGTATATACGGAACACTCTAAACAAAAACTACAGTCTGTTGCAGTGGCTATAACACAAAGATTGCATCCATGACCTAGCCCCTCACTCACCATATTGCTAATACGATGATTACACTTCCTCATTAGCAATATTAATTTAATCAACATTTGGATGTCTTTCATTGGTGGAGAGTGATACATTTTGTTTAAAAAAATAAATAAATAAAAATCTCCCCTTCATCTGTTATGCAGCCTGGCTGTTTTGGCCTACAATTTTCATTGACTAATTTTATATATGCAGGTTCCTTGTTATACTGATTGTTTCCCTTTCATACAATGTATATTATTAGAAGTATTTCTATACCGCCAACATATTCTGCAGCCTAAAAGGCTAATATTAAGAGAAAATAGTCACAGATTCTGGATTATTATAAAAAAAAAAAAAGAAAAACACAAATTTAATTTAATATTAAAGAATCTTTCTATGGTGCCCCCAATAATATAATACTAGAGAGGGAAGGAGGCTTAGGTCATTACCTTCTAATTGGGAGGGCAAAGTGCATGAGTGATGTAGTGGTATTTACTGGAAATGCAGTACATATTAGTAGTGATTTGTACAATAATTGAAAATACATATAATACATAAGAGATATATAAATGAAAAGAAAAGGTAAAAAAGAGTTCATATTAAAACTATTAAATGAGAATATAAAATATATATTCATACTAATGTTATAAAAAGTTAAAAAGGTCAAAGTCTACATTTAAACCTTCTCGGGTAAGGGTTTTTAAAAGAAAGACCAAATGCTTTTTTTTTAACCTAAATTTTTTTTAAATCTCCACCTCTCCATGGAGTTAGCATTTTTGAATTCCTATACATTTTAAATATATGGGATTTTTGTCGTGGTATGGATATACTCTTTTTTTATACTCTACTCATTGTAAAATCTCATTACTCTATCCTAATTCTCCTTGACCTTTGTGCGGCTTTTGACACTGTTGATCATCAACAGCTTCTTCTCATCCTTCGCAATATCGGTCTACAAGATATTGCTCCTCCTACCTCTCCCAGAGCTCTTTCAGTGTTTCGTTCTGTGGCTCTGCTTTAACTCCTCTCTGTTGGTATCCCCCATCTATACTGCCTCCCTTGGTAAACTCATTAGCTCCTTTGGCTACCAATATAATTTCTATGCGGATGACACGATGACACGCAAATCTATCTGTCCTTTCCTTATCTCTCCCCGTCCCTCTTGACTAGTGTCTCTGACTGCCTCTCTGCTATTTCTAACTGGATGGCTGCCCACTTTCCTAAACTCAACTTGACCAAAACTTGTCTTTCCTCCCTCAAGTGTTGCTACTCTTGTGTCTGTCTCCCTCCAAGTCATCGGTGCTAACATCAGCTCCATCACGCAGGCTCACTGCCTAGGTGTTCTCTTTGACTCCGACCTCTCCTTCACGCCTCATGTTGTGTCTATCCCCAAATCCTGCCGCTTCCATCTCAAAAACATTGCGCGGATCCGACCCTACTTAACGCCAGGTGCTGGTCCATTCCACTGTCCTTTCTCACCATGACTACTGTAATCCGCTTCTCAGTGGTCTTGCATGCTCCCAACTTGCACTGTTACAGTCGATAATGAATGCGGCGGCGAGGCTCATCTTCCTGTCCACTCGCACCACCTACGCCTCACCCTTCTGTCAGTCCCTACATTGGCTTCCTGTAAGATATAGGGCTCAATTTAAAATTCTGGTTCTTGCTTTCAAATCTCTACATAATGCTGCTCACACCTATCTATCCTCGATAATACACAAGTATGTCCCATCTAGGCTCTTACACTCTGCTGAAGACTTACGTCTTTCTTCTGTCCCTACTCCCACTTCTGATGCTCTACTTCAAGACTTTTTAAGGGCTGCACCATTCCTGTGGAACTCACTTCCCTCCTCCGTTAGATGCTCACCCAGTCTCCACTCTTTCAAAAAATCATTAAAAATCCACTTCTTCATAAAAGTGTATCAATTAAACTGTTAATAGTTCCCGACTGATTACTCTCTTGCAACTGTCATTAGTCTAATACTATCTTTACCTTTTGTGCCACTTTACCCCACTCCCTTTAGCATGTAAGCTCATTGAGTAGGGCCCTTAACCCCCCTGTTCCTGTGTGTCTAACTTGTCTGGTTACAACTACATGTTTGTTCGTCCAACCACTGTAAAGCGCTGCAGAATTTGTTGGCACTATACAAATAATATAATATTGCAACAGTGCTACGCCAATCAAGTTTTTAGGCATATCAAAGTCATGCCTGCCTATTGTAAGCCACGAGCACTCAAGTAAATATATGACATTCTTGGTATTACAACATATGAGATCTTTTATAGGAGAAGTATTTTTACTGTTATTGGATTTAAAGTGCGTAGTTTTAAACTTAATATTGTGGTCTGTATTTTTACATACTATGCTGCTATTACATTTAAAGAAACCTTTAGATTGGAATAAAAATGTGGATTTTTCGTTTATATGATCTTTAGTGTAGTTTTTGGTGAGGATTTTAAAATCCTTGTTAAAATTCAGAGTACCTCTAAAAACAATATAGTGTCTTGCAAAAGTATTCACCCACCTTGACTTTTTACCAATTTGTTACATTACAGCCTTAAGTTCAATGTTTTATTAATCTGAATTTTATGTGATGGATCAGAACACAATAGTCTAAGTTTGTGAAGTGAAATGAGAAAAATATATACATAAAACTATTTTTAGAAATAGAAAACAGAAATTTGGCGTGTGCGTATGTATTCACCCCCTTTGTTACGAAGCCCATAAAAAGCTCTGGTGCAACCAATTACCTTCAGAAGTCACATAATTAGTGAAATGATGTCCACCTATGTGCAATCTAAGTGCCACATGATCTGTCATTACATATACACACCTTTTTTGAAAGGCCCCAGAGGCTGCAACACCTAAGCAAGAGGTGTTTGCTTCACAATAAAAAAAAAAATAAAAAAAAATTCAAAGTTGTGGGCATGTTCTGTAAATTAAATTATGCAAATCCTCAAACAATCCATGTTAATTCCAGGTTGTGAGGCAACAAAACACGAAAAATGCCAAAGGGCTGAAAACTTTTGCAAGGCACTGTACTTGGCTTATCTGTAATATATTTTTTTTAAAACATCATCTTGTTTTAAAATGTGCCTATGCTTATTAATAATTCTTTTTACAGTTGTGCTTTTATTATTAAAATTGAAGATGACGGGCATAAGGGGAGGGTCTTTCTTATTTTTTGGTTTATATTCTAAAAGGTCTTTTTTTTTTTTGTATTTATTGGTAACTACTTCAAGAGGTTTATTAAGATTGTCTGATGGATAGTTTTTGTCAATACCTTTTTCTTTCAATATCTGGGCCTGTTCTTTAAAATCTGTAATATTTCAGCAATTTCTGTGAAGGAGCAGAAATTGGCTCTTGGGTATAACACTTAACCAAGGTTTAAAATGATAGCTTGATTGTTCAATTACCGTATTGGTGCAGACCTTTTTTGAAAAAGGTTTTTGTGTGAATAGTGCCATATATGATAAAAATGTCTAAATCTAAAAGTTAATACTGTTATTACTACTATATACCATGGCTGTTGGTATTAAGGTGATTTAAAAACTGTGTAAGAGTGTTTTCTGAACCTTTCCAGTTAAAAAATATATCTAAAATATGTCACCTGATTTGCCCACCAGGCATTTTCACACCATATGGCCTCTGATTCCCATTCTGCTATAAAAAGGTTTGCATAGCTAGGGGCAAATCTGGTTCCCATAGCTGTACCTTGCTTTTGTTTATAAAGTTTAAAAACCAAAAGTAGTTGTTGGTTAAAATAATTTTTATCCCTTGTATAATTAAATTAGCCTTCTGGGATAGATTTTGCTTCCTTTAAAATGGTAAAAATTGATTCACAACCTTTGTGGTGTGGGATAATAATATACAATGATTGTACGTCACAGGTGACTAAAATATAATCAGAATGCCAAGTAAAATTGGTTAAAAAGCAAAGCAGAGTCCTAGAGTCCTTAAGATAAGATTTCATAACTTTAACTGATGGCTGTAGTAAAATATCTATATATTCATATGTTTGACAAAATTGAATCTATCCTGGAGACAATGGGTCTACCTTGGGGGTTGTCTTGATTTTTATGAATCTTAGGTAAAAAATAGATGACAGGGATTTTTGGGTGTGATATGTTTAGATAGTCGAACTCCTTTTTATTAAGAATATTGAAGTCGAGACCTTCAGATAAGAATTTTATTAGTTGTTCTTTAATGGATGGTGTGGGATCTGAAGCTAGTTTTTCGTAAACTTTAGGGTCATTTAGTTGTCTTAATGCTTCATTAATTACATTGTTTTGGAAGAATAACTAGACCATCCCCATTATCAGCTGGTTTTATGATGATAGTGTCGTCTTCGTAATCCTTTAAGAGCTATCTGTTCTTGTGGGGATAGATTGTGGTGTTGGTATTTATGTTTATTTAATTTTGTTTAGATCATTTAATACCAATTTTTCAAATACTGATTGTGCCATTTTACTTTTTTATCATTGTATGCTATTTTATATTTTTTTTACTGCCGCTGCTTGGTATCCGGATTTTATTATTCCAGTTGACTATTACTCCAAAGAACTCCTAGGTGGGGATTATACCACTCACGCCTGATTCGCTGAACTTTGAAAATTATACTCCTATTGTATATTTTTATACGTGAACACTATTAGTTGTCTCCTCTTTTTACCCTTTTATGGTCTACGAACTTGCCTTTAGACCACTTTTGTATTTGACTTATTGCACTATCACCTTTTTTCTGTTTCCCCATACAGAACCCTCAAGTTGTTTCCATCCGACTTCTACAGAGAACATTCTCCCCATAAGACTGTTGGCTACCCCCCTGGCAAGACTTGCTCTAAGACTCTTTTTGGTATTATTTATATTTTGAATTTGACATCAATATAGGACTCTTTTTTTTAGATATACTTCTAAATACCTAGTTTTGTCTTTGGCGCAACCTTTCTCCTTTTACCTTCTATATTATTCCTACTAGTTGGCGCTTAGAGGGAACCCTATCTTAGGTTTGCTGCCCCTTTTTTTAGTATTGGTTTCTCTAGCTCTGTTTCCTTTGTTTTGTATTTTACACTGTATTTTACACTGTATGCTATCATTTATGGCACAAGGCAAAAGCCTTAATAATGGCATGTTCTCTCGTGATATACCAGAAGGTAGTGCTACATCCTCCAAAGACCTCAATTTTGTATTTTACAAAAATTATTATAAAGAAGTGGGCCCTAACATTTCTGAGATTTTATAAGGGAAGCATGTGTTTCTTTAAATAATCGGAAATACGATGATTTCTTATTTGACTTGAACCTTTTTCTGTAACCTTCATTGCCCTGTAACCTTCACTGCATTGGATATTTGTAGCTGTTAGATTTAAAATAAAGTACAGAATGAAACATTACAGCAGAGTTGTCAAACACTCATAATCCTTCATTATGATATGAAAGTAAGTCAAGATTTAAAAATGATATGTGTGGCAGGTTTACATGTTTATAGATATTAATTGTTACTAGCTTTGAAAAAGGGAACTTGATCCTGTTTTATGATTTTAGGCCTCTGTCTAATTTTAGATGCACATTGCCTAAGAGGACATGGGTTTGGTGCCTAGATGTTTTGTTATTTTATTGTAACTTTTTATTGAGCAGCAGAAGAGATATATTTTCTAATTATTTTAAATAGATCAACCATTTGCAATAATAATGAAATGGAAAATAAAAGGGGAGAAACAGACAATGAAAAGAGAGTAGAAGAATTGAAGGTTATGCTAGCGTAGTGTACTAATAATCTTAATTTTAATAATGACAGAAGGCTTCATATTTTGCATTAACTTTCTTTACTAACTCCATAGCAGCAAAGAAAAAACAGAAGAAATAAAGAACCAATCATAACACAGTCAGAGTGAATATGATGATGTTGGGCACAAGGTCTCAGTCGCCTTCACATAAGCCCGCAATGCCGTAACCACGCATAGTTGAAGGTCCAAGGCAAAGAACAGATAGAAGACCAACGACTAATCCGATTTGGTTCGTTGTGAAATACGAAATGTGACTCCCTCCGGAGCGACCGGAAAAGTGTCCACATCGAAAGCGTGCACATCCGAGACTCATCAGAATGAGACACAGTAGCAATGTAAATTTGGCTGTCAATTGTTGTAAGGATAGTAGTTCGTTAGATGGCCACACTCTCAAGAACCAAAGCACTACGTGCCCTCTCTCTGAAGGAATCATCAGACTCATCTGAGTCTTCCCTACCTTGGGAGCGTTTAGGAGCCGGCTTGGTAGGATCAGAGGCTGCTGGGAACACTTTGGCCATAGATGTTGATATTTGGGAGCTGGAGGACGTCTGAGTTTGATGCCTCATAGTAGTCGACAGATCAGGGGGTCTTGACCAACCGCCCTCCCTTGAATCAGTACTGTCACGAGCGTGGGCTATAGTCCCAGCCGAGACAGTGGGGAGAGTGTGGAAGTGACAGTGTTAATGACACCAGACCCCCTGGTTACCAGTTGCTAGTCCCAGCAACCACTTAATTAACCCCTGCAATCCCTTCTACACTAACCCCCTAGTACACACTTTACTGCCACCACCAAGACTTTAAACCCGGGCGTCTTAGATTACCCCACACACAGGAGAATTCTAGAATCACAGTTCTTCTTTTACTGATCAAACACATATAATGAACCCTTTTTGGTAATGTGTTTACCTGAGCTTTCCTCTGGAGAGTGAAGCTCATAGAGAACAGAGACACAAGCTGATTAAGTAAACATGTAATCTGACAAAAAAGATTCACAGTGCTGAGTACAAAATACAGAAATAAATGACATACAGATAATAAATTGCAAAACAGTACATAAAATAAAAACACAAGAAATTCCTTACATGTATTTACCCCATATAGAAGTCTTGTGGGAGTCTTAGATGGTATTGGTCTCCTAGAAGTTGCTGACCAAAGAAAAAATACCTAAACTAGTTGTTTCTCAGTGGGCAGACCCCAGTTCAGAGGGGGTTGGTCTGGCAGTTTAATGCCCACTCTATGCAATTCCTTGTGCCAGCTCTGGTGATGGCTATCTAGATGTTTTATGGTCCAGGCCTGGTGCAAGATCAAAGACCACAATAAATATCATCCCAAGGTTTACAAAAAACAACAACTCTTAACATATATCAACACACATCAAACACCAACTCATGCTTTTGGCATGACAGGTACATAGGTACATGGGTACCTGATGACATTGATGGTGCGGTATGACTTGCCTTCCTCAAAGAGTGAAGAAAGGAAATTCATGATCGTGGAAATAGGTGCTGTAAAGGGATCAAGGTCCCGTCCCACTGTCCAGGATCGCCAGGCAGATAGGTAACTTTTCCGTGTTCCTGAGGCCCAGGAATCCCACAGCAGATCTCTAGTTGCTGATGATAAGTCATTGGTACACCATCCGGCCAATAATTCCAGGCAGTTGATGAGCATCGTGGGTTCCTGGGTTGTCCATGCTCCTCCCGTGGATGCGCCCCCATCAGTAGCACCTCATCTCCACCGGTTGGTGTTGAACTCCAGTATGAAGTCCGATTGGCTGCCAAAGATGGCTCGACCATTCCATGCTTGCAATTGAGCCACCATTCAAATTCATGAAGAACCTCGTCTGTCAGCGGAACTGGCTGGTTGTATGTGAGGTTTCGTCTGAGGAAGCGGGTCTTCAGCCATTGCATGGCACGGCAGTGCAGAGGGCCTGGAAATATGGCTTGGATTGAGGAGGTATAGCAGGCCAACGATCCAGGCGAGTTGCCTGTGCTGGATGGAGTAGAGCTTGAGGACCCTGCGGATCTCCTTCTGAATGGCCGTCAATTTAGAAGATGGAAGGTGGAGCATGCTGGATCGGCAGTCTATCTCAAAGCCCAGAAATTGAATTGTCTGGGCGGAAGTCAGTGCAGACTTGGCCCTGTTGACAATGAATCCCAGAGATCCCAACAAGTGTACTGTATATCTGGTATGTTTCGATAATAGGTTAATCGTCCTGCAGAACAGGAGGATGTCGTCCAAGTATATAATGCATGGGATCCCTCGTGCTCTGTGGTGGGCCACCACTAGCTTCAGCATCTTTGTGAAACACCACGGTGCAGAACTGAGCCCGAAAAGGAGGCAAGTGAACTGCCACGGGATGCCGTGCCATAGGAAGAGTGACTTTCTTCGTGAATTTCTAATCGACAGGGCAAGGGAGGTGGTTCTACATAAGGGACATCTGAAGTTCGATGTGATAACCTTTGACGGCCTATAACACCCATGCATCCTTGGACAGTTTTTCCCATTTCTGGAAAAAAAGAGAAACACGGCTGGCAGTAACGGTTAAAGTAGGCACATGTAACTGATTGGTCTCTTACCTGACGTGCTTGTTAAAGCCTCTCCAAAAAGTTATCCCTGTGCCTGTGGACCTAGTTCTTTTGCCCCAAGATCCGCCAGTTTGGGATCAATGCGGAAGAGTGCTGCATGGTGCCGCTCAGTCGAGAGGGCCACATTGGTATTGCCCATAAAACAAAACCCTCTTTGGGTTCATTCTCTAATGTCGTGCGCCCATTCACGCACCATATCCGCACTGAAAGAGTCTGCCTGGGCGTATGCGTCATCCGCTAGGAACATTACATGGGCCAGTAACCCCATGGCGTCCAGGACCTTATCTTGTGCTCCCCTGAAGCTCCTTTCGACCCCTTTGCGAGGGTCTCAACCTCCACGTGCCATAAATGCCAGCATGAGCTGGTCGAACTCAGGCATAAAAGCCACTTTATGGGTAACGATGGCCTGGGGCATGGAGAGGGAGTAAGGCATATCTTTTTCCTCGTCCGAGGAATCATCCTGGATAGGCACAGATAGGCACTTTTTGCCTTTGCTACGTCCTTGCCTGGAGCCCTCGCCCTTCCAATGGCGTTTCACTGGGCGTGCCCTCTCTCTGAAGGAATCATCAGACTCATCTGAGTCTTCCCTACCTTGGGAGCGTTTAGGAGCCGGCTTGGTAGGATCAGCGGCTGCTGGGAACACTTTGGCCATAGCCTTCTCCACAGATGGGGCCACCGCCACGCTAATCATAGCATGGGATTCTGGGTATCTTCCATGTTAGGGCTATATGTCTATACATATACTGTTACTTTAATAACCAGGCACAGGTAGTAGAGGTATAGGGACAGGTGGGGGGGTGCGTGAAACAGGCCGTGGGCCGTAACGGCATGCGGCATTTAAGCAGACTCTTATGATCACTGGGGCACAGATTCCGTTCAGCAGCACTCTGGGTAGTACCCAAATGAGATGAGACTCTATGTTGAGGGTAAGCAGGAACTAATTTAATGGCAACCACAACTGGCCTTATATGCAAGTCCCCATGCAAGGGGTACTCCCACCTGGATCTGATGGAAGACTACAGTACAAAGTTACAGACCAATGACAAAGTTGTTCAAGTACATGAAACTCCCTTACATAACCATACAATCCCTCCCCTCTGCCTAGGAGATAATTGAGTCAAGTACTGTATTAACTCAATTATCTCCAGACACAAAAACACACATTTTTATAAAAACCCCAAAATACCTTCAAAACATACAAAACCCCCACAAAAATCCCCCGGTAGCCTCGATGTGGGTGAACAACATATCTAAGAATCACCTAGATTGGTTCCTATGCCCAAAATAGTTCCATAGAATTAGGGCTAGCGGTCGGTCTAGTTCGGTAGTTTAAAAACAAACAAACTACCGAACATAGTCAATATTCATACCGTGGAGCTTGTTCACCTCATTCAGACGAACAATTCCACCGAACAGCACTCTTCAAAAGGTGTAAAGTACCGAACGCAGGCTATGATGGAAGTCCAGCGGTGTTCGGGAGTTTGTGTCCAAAAACAGTTCAATGAACTTGACGACCAAATATCGCTGCCTGCGTTCGCGGGAAGAAGATGGCTGCTACCTCGTGTTTGACCATGCGAACTGCGGCCACCCACACAAACAATTAGAATGCTGCGGTTAGAAGCTGCCGGGTGGTCCCTGGTTCTTGGGACAAACAAAGTCTTTTATGAGCCTTTTTGCATGGCCCATAGTCCTGAGGCAGGAGGCTGGCAAACAGGCCCCTCCAAGAACCACTGGCGAGATTACTTTTGCCACAGGCGTGAACGGGAAAAACCCGCGAACAGCCGGTTTGTGCTTAAATGCACGAATCAACAGAGTTCCCTGCCTGAACGCCCTGAAGTCAATTCAACGGCGCAGGAAAAAAAAGGAAAGTGTCGAATGTAGCCACAGGGGAGGGTGGGGAATAGGCCTGGGGAGAGAGGAGACAGAACCCCAATCAGAGAAAAAAAACAGCCCCACTAGAGAGGTGGAGATAAAGGATAGCTACCAGCCACCACTACAGGAAAGGAAAATAGTAATCACATACAATAAGTACAGTTTTAAAATCGAGTCATAAAACAAGTACTTTGACCTGACTTGTGATGGAGCAGCAAAGAAAAAGGGAAGTGCTCTGGATACGCTTTCACTTATATACACTCTGACTGTGTTCTAATTGGTTGTTTATTTCATCTGTTTTTTCTAGAATGTGTTTTGTTTTGTTTTTTGTTAGAGGGACACTATAGTCACCAGAACAACTACAGCTTAATGTAGTTGTTCTAGTAAATATAATCATTCCCTTCAAGGTTTTTGCATTAAACACTGTTTTTTCAGAGAAAAGGCTGTGTTTACATTACAGTCTAGCCTCCACTGGTGACTTCTCAGATGGCTGCTAGAGGTGCTTCCTGGGACAGTGTTGCACAGTGTGACTGACATTCAGAGTCTCCACCCTCTGCATGGAAATACTGAACTTTTCTCATAGAGATGTATTGATTCAATGTATCTCTATGAGGAGATGCTGATTGGCCAGAGCTGTGTTTTTTTTTGTGCTGGCTCTGCCCCTGATCTGCCTCCTTGACAATCTCAGCCAATCCAATGCTTTTCTATGGGATAGTATTGTGATTGACTAAGATCACCATTTCTGATGATGTCAGCCCAGAAGGCAGATAAGGCGCAGAGCCAGCAGCAACAGAATGTAATAAAGGTAAGATTTTACTATACTTAGTGTTTTTAACACTATAGGGTCATGTAATAATGTTTAATTTTATTCATTATGTACTTTGTTGGCAGTGAAATAGTTGTAGAGCTCGCATATTGCACCTTCCTTCCCTGTCTTGTGTTAAGTAAGTTGTTGGTTTTTGTTTTGTGAAGAGTAGAAATTCTCCCTTGGTGAGTGAGCCTTAAACTCTGCATGTTTGCAATGGCAAGTGGCAATTTACTCTTAAGGCTGTGTAGTAGTATTTTAAAAGGGATACTGTAGTCACTAAAACAACTCTAGCTTAATGAAGCCGTTTTGGTGTATAGATTATGCCCCTGCAGTCTTACTGCTCAGTTCTCTGCCATTTAGGGGTTAAATTACTTTGTTTACGTAGCCCTTTCACACATCTCTGCATGTAACTTACACAGCCTTCCTAAACACTTTCTGTTAAGTGAGCTCTAATGTTTACTGTTATGTTATTACACAGTGTGGCTCCTGAGCCTATTAACCTATTCCCAGTGTTGGAGAGTCCAGGCCCCTGTAACCCTTAGCATCATCGCTGGAGCTACTCCATTCAGCCCAATCATTCATGCAGCCAAGTAGTAGCTTCTTCCCTACTCCCAGCAGGATCTTGCGTCCACTACCAGTGGGACCAGCAGGTAGGCTATGTTGGGGGTGCTCTACTTGTTTGTCCGGTTCCGGACTGGGCCTCTACACGTGCGAGGGCCAGAGCTATGAGACTGAGACATCCGCCGCGCCTGCCATCTCTTCCTTGGCACCTGTCTTTGTACTTGTCGGGGATACACTCAAGTGAAGTCGCCATGTAGGATGGACCCGACGGGCCACGACTCGGCCTACAGGAGTTGAGGGATGTCCCCGGGCAAACAAATGCAGTTGAAGTGCCAGAGAAGCAAGCTGTGATGCTTTCCATTCTTGGCCTTTGAAGCCTGCTTGCGTAAGCTGTAGCTCCATTGTGGCGGCCATCTTGGTCGCGCCACCTCCAAGCAACAGTCGAGAAAGTACTGCTTCAGAATCTGTGGGTGCACCTGTGGGGAACGGAATATCTCCTGCTGGTCCAGGGGAACGGGGCAGAACATTATGTCTATAGCTCCTGGTCAAGAGATTGACCATTTCTCCCTTCCATGGACTCCGCCAGGCATGCAGGCTGCAAGTCAGTTCCAGGCCGCAGGTTTTAAAGTGGGGTTCCAAACTTGTTCAGGAGAGCCCCCCAGCTTACTGGACCAGGTACGCAGTAATTTGAGTAGCTTTTAAGGGCATAACCCTACCAAAAGATCGTGGTATACAAGTGTTGTGTGAGCCCACACTATGTGCATCTGGTCGCCATGATGGCCAGATCCCGCCCCCCATTAATGACTCTTTTTATGTATGACAATACCTTACTAGCATTAGCAACTGCTGATTAATATTGTACATTGTTACCTAGTTTGTTTTCAATAATAATTCATCTCATATGTTGTTATCCCTAATTCACTACCGCATAGGACAGCGGTAGGCAACCTATGGCACGGTGGAACTTCAGATATCTGCTAATGCGAAAAGGTGGTGAGGGACAATCCTCAATTTATGCATTGCAGCACGTAAAGGAAGTGATCTCAGATCACTTCACCCCGGCACTTGTGAATGGGAATCTGCACTGGGGTAGAACAACCTGCAGCAGCTATCACAGTTCCAGCCCCTGACCTGTACCTGACCAGCACGGTCCCCACTGGACCCCAGGGAATCCATCCACACTGCTAGATATACAAATAATACAAACAGCTCACACACAAACACACACACAGTCCGCACAAACACATCACCAATAACAATCCACATAGACGCACAACCCCACAAGCAGTCTCTCACATGCAATACCCCAAGCAGCTCCCATACAAATGAATACACATGCAGAATACGGCAACATACACATCTCAATTTAAAAAAACAGTACTGCCATGCTACGGGATATCACAATCTTTTTTTCGCTGAGAAAAAAAAAAATCCCAATGCTAAAAAATAACACATTTTCAACCAGCGAGGGCTACATGCAGACTGAGATCCGCAGGGCGGGAAAAGGCTTATAAAACAATCCCACGCCCCGCAAATTTGAGTCAGAGCGCTCTGATTGGTTGATTTAAGCCAACCCATAAGATTTACCTGTCAGAACACTGACCACAGGAAATGGAGCTGACTTAAGGTCCTCATTTGGTAAAAGAAGGTCAAGCGCAGGAAAAATAGTCCCTACATTGTCTTGTATTTTAAAGAAGAGGAAGAGAAGAGGAATCAATAGTAGAAAGTTAAGTTTGGTATGACAGTGCCACGTTAACATTAACCCCTTAAGGACCCATGACATGTGTTACATGTCATGATTCCCTTTTATTCCAGAAGTTTGGTCCTTAAGGGGTTAAAGGGACACTATAGTCACCTGAACAACTTTAGCTTAATGCAGCAGTTTTGGTGTATAGAACATGCCCCTGCAGCCTCACTGCTCAATCCTCTGTCATTTAGGAGTTAAATCCCTTTGTTTATGAACCCTAGTCACACCTCCCTGCATGTGACTTGCACAGCCTTCCATAAACACTTCCTGTAAAGAGAGCCCTATTTAGGCTTTCTTTATTGCAAGTTCTGTTTAATTAAGATTTTCTTATCCCCTGCTATGTTAATAGCTTGCTAGACCCTGCAAGAGCCTCCTGTATGTGAATAAAGTTCAATTTAGAGATTGAGATACAATTATGTAAGGTAAATTACATCTGCTTGAAAGTGAAACCAGTTTTTTTTTTCATGCAGGCTCTGTCAATCATAGCCAGGGGAAGTGTGGCTAGGGCTGCATAAACAGAAACAAAGCGATTTAACTCCTAAATGACAGTGAATTGAGCAGTGAAATTGCAGGGGAATGATCTATACACTAAAACTGCTTTATTTAGCTAAAGTAATTTAGGTCACTATATTGTTCCTTTAATTAATCACCTTATGTAATCTAACTCTGACATTAACTGCTCTCTAACCTTAAAACCCCCTTTTTCCTAATCTTTTGAATTTTTTTAACCCTGCATTACACAACTGCATACACTCCCTATACTCACAGATTTAAATACAATTCATTACAAGTAGAAATATGTGCATATGCTGTTAACAAACTTGAATACATGTTTTTTATGCAAGCAATGGGCAGTTAATATGAAACTCATTCACGGGGATACCTGAGAATTTTGTGCCTAAAGGCACCGGATATGTAAATCCCGCCCTGAACAAAGGTAAATAAAAAAAAAAAAATGTACCTCCACTACACTTCTGCATTATGAAATGCCTTAAGCATCTAAGGGAAAAATTCTATTATGCACACTTGAGAGTTAAATAATTTACATAATTTGCCTGGCCTTGCACAGAAGACAAACAACAAGCTAACAAAAAACAAATAGCACAAGCAATACCTAACTTTTAGTTATGTGTTTGGATGTACTAAAAACATCCAAGTCACAGTTCGTCTTTAAAGGGACACTATAGTCACCAGGACAACTACAGCTTCATATAATTGTTCTGATGAGTATAGTCAGTCCCTGCAGCCCTTTTTCTGTAAATACTGCCTTTCCGTAGAAAAGGCAGTGTTTACATTGCTCCCTGTGGCCACTGAAATTCCTTCCTGGGGCAGTGCTGCACACATATAGATAAATTTATTCAATGCATCTCTATGAAGAGATGCTGATTGGCAAAACCGGCATTTGTCCCTGTCCATTCCTCGCCTCCTTGACGATCTCAGCCAATCGCATTGGATTGTCTGGGATCATCAATTCTGATGATGTCAGTAAAGAAGGCGGATTGGGGCTGGGCTGGCAGCCATGCCCGGTGCTGGAAATAAGGTACGCTTTCTTACCTTTTAAGGGGGGCAAGACACCTAAATAGTGGTTTTAACACAATAGGGTCAGGAATACATGTTTGCCATAGAGCACTTCAATTTGCTATGTGTATAGTGTCCTCTCCACCCCTGTCTGTCAATCAGAAAACCAGTCTTGTTCTTCCTGGTTGCTAAGTGATAAAGGGAAAGACAAGGGACAACCAGAACCCAGTGGTGCAAAATCAATACACTTTATCTTTAAAATACACACTAAAAGCAGTTTACTTAAAATAATGGTAATGACCGATGAAGCCATATGAAGGCGGGCAAAACCCATTCCTGAAAATGTCATTGGGAGGTGGAACACAGAACCCGACATGATTGGAGTACAGTAGAACCCGAAAGGAAATGCTTATGGTTAGCATGTATATATCTGCTTGTGCGAGAATGTGGGTTCCCAATCGAGAAGCTCACCATTTTAAAGCGGCATTGTAATGCCGAACTTACCTTTCCCTAATCGCTTCCTCTTCTCTTCCTCGCTCAGGATCTGTTCTTCATTTCTTCCTGTCTGCTCTAGTTTTCTTTAAAACATAAGACAAAGTGGGGACTACTTTGTCTTATGTATATTTCCTATGCCTGACCATCTATGACCAGCGGAGGACCAAAGTGTGCTCCATTTCCTGTGATGAAAACAATTTCCCACCATTCTTACCTTTCCTCCGTGATCTCGTGGTGGGGCCCGAGAGGGAGGTCAATAGGTTCCCCCCCATTGTCATTTTGGGCCCCCATCTGCTGCTCATGGGGTGGGGGCCAGGGGGGAGGACAATAGGTCTTCACCCACCCGCCTCTCATGGGTGGGGGCCGAGGGGAGGACAATAGGTCTTCCTTGCCCCCTTATTGTAATTTAGGGCCCCCGCCTGCTGCTTACGGCAAATTTATGATAACAATGTTACAATGTCACTATTGATAAATTTTAAAAATATATATTTTGAAACAGCAATGTCCTACTTGTACTTAAAGCCCTATAACTTGCAAAAAAAAAAAAAGAACATGTTAACATTTGGTGTTTCTAAACTCATGACAAAATTTAGAAACTTTAGCACAGGTGTTTTTTAGCGGTTTATTGATGCGTAACAGATTTTGGGGGTCAAAGTTAGAAAAGGTGTGTTTTTAAAATTAATTTTTATATTAAATTATATGATATGATGAAAATATTGGTATCTTTAGAAAGACCATGTAATGGCGAGAAAAACGGTATATAATATGTGTGGGTATGGTAAATCAGTTAGAGTAAAATTACAGCTAAACACAAACACTGCAGAAATGTAAAAACAGCCCTGGTCCTTAACGGTAAGAAAATTGAAAAAAGGTCTTGTCACTAAGGGGTTAGATAAGGTGCTTTTAGTGTTTATTTTAAGAATAAAGTGTATTGATTCTGCACCATTGGGTTCCTGTTGTCCCTTGTCTCTCAATGTATCATGAAGACCATGGGAGCTGTGGGATACATACCTCTCATATAGAGCTATTATACCAAGAGCCAGGGCAGATTAGGCTCCGAGTTTATTGTGAGAAGATGGGTAAGTTTGATTAATCAGTCATTTATCCATTTAATTGAACTACTCTTTAGGGAAATGAGGTGCACTTTTAATACCTACTCATGTTTCAGCACGGTATTTCCAGGGTTGGGTGCTGGGAATGACGTAGTTTTAGAATAAACACAATTCTTAGATTTCATTTGATATTAAATCTGGAATGTGTTTGTGTTTTACCTTGGGCAAATTGTGTTATCTCTGTGCCATTGTTTGTTCACCTGTTACAGAAGACAAATCACAGCATAGGACATTTTTGGAGTGAAAAGGGTCACCTGGCTATCCTTACTAATATAGGTTTTTATGCTGTATACAGGATTGTATTATTTTTCTATGCAGTTGGCACTAGAGTCCTCTAGTGGCGAGGATTAGGATGTCTGCTTTACAAATATAGCAGGTAGATGCACTGTATTGATATGCTCTGAAAACCCAACAAAGAATATTAGGGAGGATGTTAAACAAAGTAGGTTAGCCAAATTGCAGAAGCCATTTATAGTAATACATGTGTACTTTTTATGGTTCTAGACCAGTGGTTCCCAACGGTTTTTCACTTGAGTATCCTTGGCAGCTAATTTCCATAAATTGTACCGCTCATATTAGCGAAATGTTTGTTATTAATATAGTTGCTGTTATTTCAAATGTATATGCTTTTCTCTGCCCCACACTCCTCTGTTTTTCTGCTCCAGGCTCCCTCTGCCCCAAGCTCTACCTGCTCCTCCTCAGCCCCAGATGTCCCTGTTTTTATGTCCCAGGCTCCCTCTGTTTCTCCTCTTCCCTATGCCATGCGTCTCCTCTGCCCCAGGCTCTCCCTGCTTCTTCTCAGCCTCAGGCTCTCCCTCCTCCTCAGCCCCATGCTCTCCCTACTTCTCCAGGCTCCCCCTGCTTTTCACTGTGTAGATAGACACACTGGTGCAAACACTGACACACATACAGTTGTACAGAGACACAGATACAAACAATTGCACACTCACACAGATACAGATGCACACACTGACACAAATGCAGATACAGACATACATGTAGGTACACAGATACAAACCCTGATACACATGCATATACAGACACACAGATACAAACCCCGATACACATGCAAATGCACAGACACACATACAGTTGCACAGACACTGATACACACATATACAGAAGTACAGACAAACAGAAACATGCAGATAGACTCACACAATGACACATATAGATATACAGACACACATGCAGTTGCAAAGGCACACTGATGCACACACTGCCACACATGCAGCTACAGATACACATACTGACACATATATAGATGCACAGACACACAGATACACACTGCCACACATACAGATGCATAGACACACAAATACAAACACTGACACAAATACTGATGTACAGACATACAGATCCACACACTGGCACACAAACAGATGTACAGATACAAACACTGAAATGCATGTAGTTGCACATACACATTGATACACATGCAGATGCACAGACACACTGATACACATGCAGATACACAGATCCAAATACTGACAGACATACAGTTGCACAGACACTGACACCAACACACATGAGGATACATAAAAACAAACACTGACACATATAGATGCAGAAACCGTTACAAACACTGACACACATTCAGATACACAGACACACACAATGACACATGTAGATACACAGACACACACATGCAAACACAGACACACATACAGTTGCTAAAACACACTGATACACATACTGACACATCCAGATACACAGATCCTAACACTGAAACACACACGCAGATACAGATACAAACAGTGGCACACATACAGATACACATACCGACACATACAAATGTACAGACATACACATACACACACATCCTTACATGCAGATACGCAGACACAGATGCAAACAATGACACACATACAGATGTACAGTCATACACAAACACAGATGCCCATACAGAAACAGATACACACTGACGCACATGTAAATACACCAACTGATGCACATACAGATACACAAACATTGACTCATACAGATACACACTGACACACATACAGATACAGATACACATACTGACACATACATATGTACAGACACACACTTCCATACATGCAAATACAAACACAGATGCGGACACTGACAAACATATAGTTGCAAACACACAGACGCAAACACTGACACATACAGTTGCACAGAGACACTGATACACACACTGACACACATACAGATATACAGACACACAGATACAAACAATGACACACATACAGATACACACTGACGCACATAGAGATACACACACACTGAAACACACGGGCGCACCAAGAGCATTTGGCACCCGGGGCAAATGCTGTATTTGGAACACCCACTTTAAAATGCAAAAAAACACCCACAATTTTGTTTTTAACATGTTCAAGAATATAAACCTTAAAACACAATACCCCTGCCCTCTACTAAAAAAACCTGCACCCCTCCTTCACAAAAGCCCCTGTCCCCCACTTCTACAAAATCCCTGCTTCTCACTTCTACAAAACACCTGTCCCCCTTCTACAAATCCTCTGCCCACCCCCCTTCTACAAAACCCCTGTACCCCTTTAGAAAAAATCTTGCACAGCCCCCTTCTACAAAAACACTATCCAACCCCCCTAAGTACTAAACCCCTGCCCCATCTACAAAAGCTCTGCCTCCCTTTATAAAAACCCAAGCCCCCTTCTACAAAACCTCTGCCCCTAATACAAAAACCCCAGCACCCCCCTTTTTTACAAAAACCCCATGCACCCCCTTCTTTACAAAAAACATGCACCCCTACACAAAAAAAACCCAATGCACTTCTTCACAAAAAAAAGGGTGTGTGCATGGGTTTTTTTGTGAAGAAATGGGTGAAGAAAGGGGGGGTGCGTGTTTTTTTTGTTAAGGGGGGGGGGGGGTGCATTGGGTTTTTTTGTGAAGAAGGGTGGTGCATGGGCTTTTTTGGGCTTCTTTACGAAAAAACACCATGTGTTTTCTTCACAAAAAAACCCATGCACTCCCTTCTTCACAAAAAAAAAAAAACACACACCCCCTTTCTCCCCAAAATAAACCATACACCTCCCCTTCACAAAAAACCCATAAACCCCCACTTCTACACAAAAAAAAACATGCACCTCCCCTTCTTCACAAAAACCGTGCCAGTAATATCCATTTTAAAAAGAAACAAAACCCCCCCACAAAATTAGCAAGCAGACACTCACAGCTTGCTGCTCCCTGCTCAGCAGTCATTGCTGCTCTGGCTTTAGGGCTCTTCCGCCACAGTGCCACACATTGCAGCAAAACAGATCCTTCCGCTACTGTGGGTGGTGGTGGTGGTGGGGGGGGGTGGAGGCGAACAGGTGGAGCACGGTGGCAGCATGGCATTACATGCCGCCATGCGCCTCCATGCGCCTTCGCCTCATAACTAAATAATACTGCCTGGTCTACAAGGGTGGGGGGGCGGGGGGTGGAGGAGGACAGGTGGAGCACGGTGGCAGCCTGGCGTTACATGCCGCCATGCGCCTCCATGCGCCTTCGCCTCATAACTAAATAATACTGCCTGGTCTACAAGGGTGTATGGCAGTAATGGCACCCCCCTAATTTGTGGCACCTAGGGCAGACCATTCCCGCCCCGCCCCACTGTTAGTTCATCACTACTGACACATATACAGATACACATACAGATACAGCAAGGCTTGACAAATTTGCTTTGAATCTAGGAGCCAGCTAAAAAGTTAAAAGCCAGATTTTAACATACAATTCTTAAAGGGACACTCTAGTCACCAGAACAACTACAGCTTAATGTAGTGGTTCTGGTGTCTATAGCCTGTCCCTTCAGACTTTTCAATGTAAACACTGCCTTTTCAGAGAAAAGGCAGTGTTTACATTGCTTCCTAGTGACACCTCTAGTGACTGTCATTCAGACGGTCCCTACATTCAGCATCTCCACACTCTGTATGGAGGCGCTGAACGTTCCCCATAGAGATGCATTTATTCAATGCATCTCTATAAGGAGATGCTGATTGGTGCAGTGTTTTGCAGCCAATCCCATGGCAAAACATTAAAATCAAGCTTGATAATCTCAGCCCTAGAGGCAGGGCCAGTCCAGGGGAGACCTGCACGGAGTGGAAAAAAAGGTGAGTAAAAACACAATTCCTTTGTGAACTGAAGTGGCCTGGTCACCTCAACACACACATCATGACAGACACACACACACCATGAGAGACAGACATATACACACACCATAACAGACAGACATACACACACACACACCATGACAGACTCACACTATGACAGACATACACTCACACTGACAGACATACACTCACACATTATTGCTTGATTTAGTACCTTGGGTCCAGTGGGCGGCTGGCTGGGGGATCGTGCAGGCGGGCGGCTGGCTGTGCATATTGTTGCTGGCGGGGAGTTGTGATGTCTCTGCTCTGCTCCCCCGCGCGCCGCTTAATGAGACTGAGGGCGGCCCTGGTCTTATTAAGTGGCTTGCAGGGGAGCAGAGGATGGACATCACAGCTCCCTCGCTGCCCTCCTTCTATTCACGCAGCAAGCCGTCTGCCTCCATAACCACCCAGCATGCCGCCTGCATCCATGACCACTCAGCCTGCCTCCGCCTCCACGACCGCTTAGCATGCCGCCCGCCTCCATAATCCCCCAGCTTGCCGCTGACTGCCCGCCTCGGAGGTAAAGGGTTCGCATATTCCAGACGCTGAGGCAAAATTCCAAAGAAGCCATGGCGAGCCCTGAGACAGACAGACAGACAGACAGACACACACACACACACACACACACTGACACACATACAGATAAACACACTGACACACACAGACTGACAGACATACAGACACACATACACTGACAGATATACAGATAAACACACTGATAGACATACAGACACACACAGACATACAAGCTACAATTCTAGCCACCCTCCAGTTTCTTAGCTTGTAGGTGCTGGAGGGTGGCTGGGGCTGATAGTCTTGCAGCTCCTCCCTCCGTCTCGCTGCTCCCCCATGGCAGGTTCTCTCACTCACTTCCTCCCAGCTCTCCAGGCAAGTTAGAACGGGTCGGGTCGCACTATTAAAGTGCCACAATGTTTGACCGGGCCTCTTGTGGCACATGTCCATTGGGTGGCCTTGAGTGTGGTTCCCACCCCGTGGCCTTGCTTGGTGGTTCCCACCCCGTGCGGCGGCCAGCACCGCCGCCATTACCGCATTTTTTTCGCGTACCTCCCTGGTCACTGCATTGTACCCCTGGGGTTACGCGTACCACGGGTTGGGAACCCCTGCAAAACAATGATGTTAGGCCAGGATGGTTTATCTACCATAATCAGGTATTCTATGTTCAATGTTATAAGCCCCATGATACTAGTACTAGACATATCTTTTCTCCTAGATAAAACATTTTTGGATCTTCCCATCTATTGGTTGACAAGATTATATGCCAGCCAGTTGTGAAAATTTTGTATCTATCCCTGGTTGAAAACATACTTTATCAATGAGTTATCAAAAGGAAATTACATTTTTAGAATTATGAATTTGCCTAGTAGGTGTTTATTAGATCCCTAATACACACAACTCTGTCTGACCATTTCCATCTCAAGGCCTATATTTAGACTTTCATTTTTGCCTGTCAATTGATTATTTTATCTGATTTGGGGGGGGATGGGGGGGGGGAGGATTTTGATTATCCCACTTCAGCTGAAAAGAAGAAAATAAAATATGAAAATTATGTTTTTGCCATAACTACTAATAAAAGTTGTGTATCCCTTCCAAAAATTGTTTTTGTCTTGTGTAGGCCACTCATTGTAGGAGAATATGGCATTGGTGCCTTATGAAGAAGGTGGAGCCTTCGGTCTAAAAAGGTTTCATAGTTCCGACACAACATACAGCTTTGTCAATCACTCTATACAGATCAAGCAGAACTGGAAAGAGCTGGGAGTTGCAGCAGTAGTTTGGGATGCGGTATGTATATTCCTACAGACTAATATGTATGGATAAAACTGTATAAGCCCCCTTGGATCTTCATTCAGAGGTTATCCTAGCAAGAATACAGGCTATGATTCAACATTGATCTAAAGGTAATTACTATGAGCCTTATTTGCATTTCCTTCCCAGAATCTCTAGCTGCAATGGAAACCTGGATCAAAAGAAGTCTGATATCTCCTAGATGTTCAGCATTGCTCCTTTGTATTCCTCAGTGAACCCTTTTGTCCACAACTGCCAGAATTCATTGCGACGGATCTGGGAATACCAGCAGTTTGGTTTTAATTGGAATATACTGACTATTAAAACAAAAACACTCCATACATTTTTCAGTAATGCTACAGAATTTAATACACTTAAAGGATCGCTATAGGGTCAGGAACACAAACATGTATTCCTGACCCTATAGTGTTTAACTCGCCATTTAGGTTGCTTGCCCCCCTATAACAGTTTAAAACTCACCTTATTTCCAGCCCTGTGCGGTTCCGCCGGTGCTTGCCCTGCCCTCTTTGTGACCTCATCAAAATGGCCGAATTCCTATAGGGAAAGCATCAGATTGACTAAAATCGGCACGGGTCGGGGCCGAATGCCGTTTTGGCCAATCAGGCCCTCTTTATAGAAATCCATTGAGTCAGTGCATCTCTATGAGGAAAATTCAGCGTCTCTATGCAGAGCGTGTGGACGCTGTATGGCAGGGATGCCTACTATGCAGCCCTTAGCCAGGAAGCCCCTCCAGTGGCCATCTAAGGAGTGGCCACTTGGAGGTGTCCCTAGGGGCAATGCTGCAAAGGCAGTGTTTACATGAAAATGCCTGAAGGGAGCTTTTATACTCACCAGAACAACTACATTAAGCTGTAGTTGTTCTGGTGACTATAGTGTCCCTTTAAATAAATTGTACTTCACCTGCAGCCATTTCAAAACACAAAATCAACCATGTTATTCTGTGTTGTAGCACTATGACGTTTAAAGAAGCTGAAGAACATTATTTATCTACTAACTTTACAGTTTCCATTATACAGTCAGGCAGAATATCTTCTTCTGGTATTTGTTGGATCAGTCATTTTTTGACTGCTAGATGGTTAATTGTGATTTATTCGTTAGGATAATTTGTTTCTGCAACTCGAGAGCCTAATGGTGAAAGCTTTACAGCTTGATGCTTGGCATTGCACATAATGACCTTAGGCCTATGTGTGGCTGCTCTGTCATGGAAACCCAATTTTAAGCAAACCGTCCCTGCGAAGCTGGTGTGGCAACATGTTCTAAGCTTGTATGACCTATAAGTTGTTGCTCCTACAGCAGCACCTCCAATTGAAGAAGACAACTTTTCCAAGACAGACTTTTAATAAAATCAACTTGTTGGAACAGGACACTCTATGAAGATGGCACATTTAAAGCCAGTTAGCTCGGCAGTAGGAGATATTTTTAGATTGGATTGGGGTGCACCTCATTTTATACACCTATCACCAACATATAGATGTAACTTGTACATAGACCCAAGAAGTTCAGCATTTAAAACCCATTCCTTTATGTTGTTGATCCAAAAGAAGGCAAATAAACAAAACCCAATTGTAGCAACTTACAATTTACCACAAAAAAGGGTGGGAACCTACTTGACTCCATAATGGCAATCAGATTTCTCCCGGCATCAACAATCTCTTCACGTACATCTAAATTATATCATTATATATTCTGTTTTGCATCCAGACATTTTTTTAAAGTGATCTATAGAATCTTATAAGCCTCTTTATTATTCGTACTGTTAAAAAAAAAAAAACAACAAAACACCACCACCTCTTTCCTGCAGGAGTGTGTGTACCTGAGTGTGTGTGTGTGTGTGTGCGTATTTGCCAGTGTGTGTATCTGTGTGTCAGTGTTTGTATCCGAGTGTATGTGTATGTGCCAGTGGGTGTATCTGGGTGTGTATATGTGTGTTATGGTGTGTGTTATGGTGTGTGTATCGGTGTGCCAGTGTGTGTGTGTGTGTATCTGTGTTAATGTGTATGTTTTATCTGTGTAGGTATGTATGTATGTATGTGGCAGTAGATGTGCATACATTCCAGCAAACACCAACACAACACGCAAACAGTACATACAAAATCACCCCTGAATTCAAAATCCAAAATTATATACAAGCACTCATATACACCCTTCACTCAAGGACAAATACTACACATAAATGTACATCCGCATTGAAAAGCCAACACTACATCTAAACACACCACTGCACGCAAAGCCAACACACACATCTGTATTACAACACTAATATATATATATATATATATATATATATATACACACACCCAGAAACTAAATTTGCCAAAAAAAGAAAACATTACACATTTTTTGGGGCTCCACAATGTTGGTACACTATGTCGATACACTTTGTCAAAGGGTTCCACTGGAAAAAACAATTGGGAACCCCTGTATACCTCTACTGTATGTCATTTGCATGTATCTAAAGGCTTCAGCTGAAAATTTGCTATATGAACCCCATTTGGCTACTCAAAAACAAGGCATATTTGGCTTTTTCAGCAATACTGACCCTTTTTTTGTCCAACACTCCATTAGTTGTTAAATTTAGCTAAATCTATATTGGTTAATTGAGCTGTTTACAAATTGCCTAAATAAAAAAAATTATTTAAGTTGTTTTGATCAAGTTCCCCAACACAGACAATGAGACTTGCATCTATAAACCTAAGCCCTGAAAACCATAAGTCATCTAATGTCATTGCTGCCTTAGTCATAGTTTTACCTAATTGGGATCTCACGTCTCCCACTTGTAGCAGGGAAGTTCATCTGCTATATTCAAATATATTTCACTTTTGCAATGAGAACCATTTCAAACTAGCAGGGAACAATTTGTACAAATGCTGTTCCAATTCAATTCTTAACTAATAAAGTGAACCTTAGAGAGTTTTATCTGCGGATTTGGATCAAATGAAAGTGAACGAATTTGCTAAATCCAGTTCCATGTTTAAATAAAGATGACATTACAGTGGCCTAATCACTAAAGACTGTTGGTTACTAATAAAACAAAGTGTTAACATTGGACGCAACCTCCCCTTCCATTCTTTAAGGTTTGCAAAGAAAATCTATCTGCCAAACAGAAATGCTACATTTAATTATCTACTATTTGGCACGCAAATAATCCTACTTGTTGGTATTAAACCGGCATTTCTTCAGAGCATGCTTAATTGTAACCTTTGCAATCATTCCCACAGTAAACTTTATCTTAATTAGAGGCTGAGGAGATATTTGGAAGACAGTTCTGGGGATCTATAACAATATAACTGCTTTACGTTGTTCCATCTTTGTGTTATTGATTTGATGCGTAAAGCATGCAATATTGTGTATAAAAGTGGACTTCTTAAATAAAAAACATTAGGCGCATAGGCTTTCTTTTGATCTTATTCATGTCTCTTAAAGGGACACTATAGTCACCTAATCAACTTTAGCTTAATTAAGCAGTTTCTGTGTATAGATCATGTCTCTGAACTTTCACTTCTCAATTCTCTGCCATTTAGGAGTTAAATCACTTTGTTTCTGCCCATGCAGCCATCGCCACACCTCCCCTAGCTGTGACTGACACAGCCTGCATGGAAAAAAAATTGTTTCCTTTTCAATCAGATTTAACTTACTTTAATTTTTTTATCTCCTGCTCTGTAGATTGAACTTTAATTACATACAAGAGGCTCCTGCAGGGTCTAGCAAGCAATTAACAGAGCAGGAGATAAGAGATTATAAATTAAACAGAATTTTAAATGAAGGAAGTGTAAACATTAGATGATTCTTTACATGTAATGTTTAGGAAGGCTGTGTAAGTCACATGCAGGGAGGTGTGACTATTGCTGCATAAACAAAGTAACTCCTAAATGGCCGAGAATTGAGCAATGAGACTGCAGGGGCATGATCTATATGCCAAAACTGCTTCATCAAGCTAAAGTTGTATTGGTGACTATAATAATTGGGGAAGAAACCTACCACTACGACCACTCAAAACTCTGACGCTGGATGTCTTCATGCAGAGCGTGAGGACGGCCAGTGTCAGATGCTGGACCAAAGGTCCATTTGGATGCAGGAAGCACCTCCACTGTCTGTCTGGGAGACAGCCACTGGAGGTAGACTTAGTGCTGCAATGTAAACATTGCACTTTCTATGGAACTGCAATGTTTAACTATGCAGCACAAAGTGCAACAGGGACACTGCACCCAGACTACTTCAGTTAGCTTAAGTAGTTTGGGTGCCTATTGTGTCCTTTTAAAATAAGCAGTGTGAATCTGTCATGTTCTTAAATTGTCTCTTTCTATTAATTTCCTCTTATATGGCTCCTAGATGTTGAATGTATATGACTTCACTTTTAAATTAGTGTCATTTTTATACTTGTTCACCTATCTGTATATAACCAACACAAATAAAAAATATATTACAGGCAAAACACCTATTTTAATCATCTCTTATGTAAAACTAGTTTATATTTTTTTTAGATTTAGATGTGCATGCACACAAATATCAAAATGTTAAATAGGAGGAAAATTATATGGCGTCAAGTTTTTACAGTTTTATATATTTTTTTTGTTTCTTCGTTGTGATATTTTTTATCCCTTTGTTGCTTCTGTAGGCAGTTGTTCTGTGTATGTTTTTGGAAGCCGGATCCATCAATCTGAAGGGATCCTCTGTTATTGAACTGGGCGCAGGGACTGGTTTGGTGGGCATTGTGGCTGCATTGCTAGGTAAGTTTAAATGGAGGAACAAACATGTAAAGGGTATTGAGATAACGGAAATATATATATATATATATATATATATATATATATATATATAAATTTCCATGTCCTATATTAAAAATTTAAAAAAAAACTCATAAAAGTGATACTGATATGAGAGAGGAAGTATGGGCATCCAATTTGACCTATTTACTAAATCCAGCCAACAAGAAGTGAGGTTGGTAATAAATAATATGATCCAAATAATTGCCTTATAATGTATTCAATAAAAATGCTGACAGGATTCTTGTATTTGATATACCTAACAGTGGAAGGTGGAAGCTCTGTTGTATCCACCTCCGGTAAGCGCTTGCCCCTTTCTGCGGTATTCACTGATTTGCCCTGTTTGGGGAAGCATCTTCAAGTAGGGCAAACATCCCCTATGACGCTGATTCACTGGCCAGTTGCCAGTATGATGGCATCAAACGGAGTGACGTTAGTCAATTAATTTTTCTAGAGTTTATGAGCTGGGGTTGCTACGGGTGGAATAAAAGAGGTCTTTTTTGCTCTCCCTGTCAATCAGTTCTTTGCATTGAGTCTAGTTTGAAGAATTGATTGACAGGTGGGAGAAAAAAAACTAATTTAAATAGGCCTTCTCCCAATCTATACATTTGTTAACACAATGTATAACTGAAATTGTATGTATATATGAAATTGTTTGCTCTTTTAAAAGAGCAAACATTGTTTTCACTATAACAGTTGCCATTTAAGGTCAGAGTAGCCAATATGGAAGCATAGCACTCACTTTGAATTCACAATTTAGTGAATAACCATGTTAGATTTGTATAATACGGAGTTGTACTGCTTCCACCAGGAGTTAAAAACACCACAATTTCTGGTATGTAAAACAAAGAACTTTGTCCTATGGCAAATTCAAAGGAGCTTCCTCTGCCAACCCTTGCTTTCCCAGCATCTGTCACGAATGATGGCTTTGGGCAGAAGGAATGGTCTCTTGTGATGCATGATAAGTTTTTGGGAGCATCCTATGGTCTTGAAGGACCTTCTATTGGCATTGTTCTTACACTTTTGGGTATGTGCATCTGAAGACCGATTTACGCATTAATAAGCTATTAAAACAAAATAAAGTGTGGTTGAAGTTTTTTAGTTTGTAAGTGTGGTGAAACTATATTGTAAACAATATTTTGTATTGTATACAAAAAGTTGTTTGTTTGATTTTAGGTGCCAATGTTACAATTACAGACCGGGAGGTGGCAATGGATTTTCTCAAGTCAAATGTTAACGAGAACCTTACTCCGGGCCTACAGGATAAAGTGTTTATTAAGCCCCTGACATGGGGCAGAGCATTGGAAGACTTCCCAACATTTGATGTGATAGTAGGAGCTGATATAATTTATCTAGAAGAAACATTCCCAGATCTTTTACAAACAATTCTCCATCTCAGTTCAGAGGATTCCTTGGTTCTGCTGTCATGCCGTCTCCGGTACAAGAGAGACCAGAACTTTTTGGACATGATGAAACTTCAATTTACTGTAACAGAGGTCCATTATGATAGTAATACTGATGTTCATATATTCAAAGCTCACAAGAAGATTCAAAGGAAAGAACTTTAAGCTCACAAAATTATGAAACTCATTCCTGATTATTTTCGGAAAGCATGTGTAATAATATGTGATGCAAGTTAATATAAATTTTACATTTATTGTAATAACATGTATTTTATTGCGCCTGGTGACATCCATAGCTTATCAGAACCTATGGGTAATTTTCAGACCTGACAAAAGGAACATCATACTACCTGCTAGTTCCACTGAGGTTTGCCTTGCTATTGTATGTAAAACAGACAAAACTTAAGTGCTTTTAATACTGGGGAGATAAAGAACCACCACCATCACACTGGAACAATATTAGAAATATACATCCATAAAATCATATATTCAACCACAAGGAAGTGAAGCACTCATCGGACTTTTACAAATGTTCCTCACACTTAAAGAGACCCTATAGTCACAAGACCCACTACAGCTTAATGTAAAGGGTTCACTAGAGCTGCTTCCTAGTTCAGTTGCATTCAGCCTCTCCACGCTTTGCACTGAGATGTTTTTTCTCTATGAGGAGATGCTGATTGGCACAGCGTGGCATTATGCCTTCCTACTGGAAAGCATTTGATTGGCTAAAATCATCAAGATTGATCCATGGATGCTTGGCCAGCAAAAAAGATAAATATAAAGGCAATTTGGTAGTATAATCATTAAGATACAGTGGGCATAAGGAAAGATTAATCAAAATGAAAAAACAAACATGGCAGGGTCACTTTAGGCAACATACCTTTTCAGTTGCGAACATATTTTACCCACAATGCCCCAGTCAAGAATCCCACAGAAGGGCAAACTGCAAACATCATGGACAGAACAAAATGGAAGTATCGGGGTATTTATATCTGCAATACAAGATAATAAACAGAAATAAAAGAAAGGGGGTTGTATAATCAAGTGGAAGAAAAAAAATGTGTTTTTTGAGTGAACAAACTGTGTTTTTTGAGTAAAAACACCAGGACTCTGCTCAAACACAAAATGGGATTATGAATAAAACCTAGCAATATGTTTCTTCTGTTGAGTGAAATTTCAAAGGTTTCTGTATCAAATGTAAACCTCCACCTTTTGTAATTAAAAAAAATAAAATAATTATTCTTGGCCAGGCATTGTTGGTTTACAAAAGCAGGGAACTTATTTTCCGTAGCTAAACAATATAGCATAAAGCATATCTGGAAAACAGGATATTACACAAAGCTACTTAAAGGAATACTATAGTGCTAGGAGTACAAACCTGTATTTCTAGCACTATAGTGCCCTCTGCCACCCACCCACTGTAAGGGTTAAAAATCCTTATTGTGCTCATCCGATTCCAGCGTCAATCTACCTCGGCGCTGGGACAGCACTCTACCTCCTTCGGCGTCACCCAATGGGGGGAGGAGCTAATGCACATGCGTTGCAAGCACATCAGGCCCTCCCCATGGGAATGGATTTAAAGTTGCGTTGCAAGCAGGAAGTTCCTCTATTAGCTGTCTGATTGACTAGAGTCAGTCTTAACCCTGCAATGTTATTTCTGAAAAACTGCAATAATTAACATTGCAGGATTAAGGGGACAGGTACTTTGACCCGGACCACTTCAATGAGCTGAAGTGGTTTGGGTGTCAGTAGTGTACCTTTAACATCTCAAATTATAAAAAGGGGAAGCTAGTTAAGCGAGTGTTGGACCACCGCAGCAGTGGAACATGCCAGCTAAAGCAACCACTAACCATTTTGATGGTGAGCAAGTGAGGGGAAATGGAGTCCGAAGAATAAGACTTTTAATACCTACCAGAGGTAAATCCCATAGAGGGGCAATCGGCTTGATTGATGGGTTTCTTTACAACTTACCCCACATTTTCGTAATAAATGCATAAAAGTATACGTAAATAAAATATATAAAAAACAAAGAGTAGGACAAAATATAGTGCAGATGGTACTGAAAAAAGGGACTGATGGAGCATAAAAGTACATCTTATGGAGCCAATATCAATAGACTCTCTTATATGTGAGTGATTTGATTTTATATACAATTAGCCACATTTTCAGTACCATCTGCACTATATTTTGTCCATCTTTTAGTTTTTTATATATTTTACGTATACTTTTACGCATATATCAAGAATACATGGGGTAAATATACCCCCTCACAGTTTGAAAATGTATAGACACTAAAGGTGTAGGTTTTACTTGTATATAGCTCACTAAGAATGCAGCTTCACAATGAATGTAAAATGGATGCTGTCCAGGAGGTGAGAGGGTCGGGGAGGGAGGGTCTGCTGCTGATTGGCTGGAATGTGTCTGCTGACTGTGAGGTACAGGGTCAAAGTTTACTCAATGATGAGTCCGCAGCGAACCATTCGGGACATCACTAGTCTGGAGGTTTTATGGCCCTAACGACCGAAGCTTGATTTGCACAAATCCTATTTGTGCCGTTTGTGAATGATATTCATTTGTGATTTTAATATTCTATTTTGTTTTAAAATACCACATCATATATCTTTGTCTCTCTTTCTTTTGTTTTTATGGTAACCTGCTGTTTTTAAAGGTAACACTGTGCCAGTTTTACTACATTTGCATGTTGTGAGTTGTATAAACACACTTTAAACTTTACACCATATTAGCAACAGACACACTTTTATTCCAATATGTGCTCCAGATTACCTTAAATGGCATTGAATTGTTTTAATAAAACAAAACATAGTGGTTTTGGTCTGACACTGCCTGCAAAAGCAGCCTAAATTTCTTTTAAAGCACATTTTTACCTAGGTTATTTTAATTAATGTATGTGGACAAAAGGCCAACTGGAATGCCAACATAATCATTACAAATTCACAAGTGATATTTTAACTTCTTATTCAAAACATTTACATCTACAGCATGTTTCAGAAATGTGCATTTCATGAACATGCCATTCTGTCATGGAAAATTTCAAGAAGTTCCCATAAAATTACCCACAGAATGGCTTTAACCCCGTAAGGACGGCGGGCGTACTAGGCCATCCTTGGAGACCCGGTCTTAAACACCGGCGGGCGGCATAGTACATCCACGCCATTCTTCCCACTTATCTGATCGCTGGCGATCAGGTGTGTTTGTGTGTGTGTATTTGTGTGTGTGTGGCTGATCCAGCCCTCCCGTTCTGTGTGATCAAGATAATGTCACAATCACATGGACGGAATAGCTGTCCAAAGCAGTGTCTACAGGAGGCCTGCCTTGAATGACAGGCAGTCCCCCCCAGTGCCTGTAAGAAAGTTTTAAACAGTTTAAAAACTGTTTTTAAGCACATTATATGTATTATATATATGATCTAAGTGTATATATATATATATATATATATATATATATAAAAATACACATAGAATAATATTAATTTTACATATTTTATAATTTTATATACATATATAATATAAACTAAATTAAAAAATAAAAATAATGATATATGCATGTGTAATTTAGTTCTAACTGTATTTTGAGAATATATCAAAATACTTAGAACAAAATTATATATATATATATATATATATATAAAAATGTCTCTCTCTCTCTCTCTCTATATATATATATATACACACACACACACACACATTTAAATTATATGTATATATTTATGTAATATTTTTACATAAGTAATTTTATTAATTACGGTTTGAGGGACCAGCCTGACAACCTAGGCAGAAAGTCCACAGAATTTGGTTCGCAGGCCCTTTATTTAACCCTATAACTTTCCAAAACACCATAAAACCTGTATATGGGGGGAAATGTTTTACTCAGGAGAATTCGCTGAACACAAATATTAGTATTTCAAAAACATAAAACGTATCACAACAATGAAAGTGTCAGTGAAAAAGCAATTCTTTGCATTTTTTATACACAAACTACACTTTCACTAACAATATCATTGTTGTTATATTTTTTACTGTTTTGAAACACTAATATTTCTGTTCAGCGAAGTGACCCAAGTATAACAGTACCCCCCATTTGATATGAAATGAAAGCCCTGTTTCTCCTGAACAAACTGATATATAATAATTGTGGGTGCATATAATATGAAAGAGGTGAACTACGGGTGAACAGACATATAGCACAAATTCCAGTTTTTGTTTACATTTGTTTACTATTGACTTCGTCCTGAAGGGGTTAAAATATCTTATTTCTGGGGGTCCAAGTATGGGGGCTTCTAACAAAATAAAAAATACTTTCATAATTTGTACTTTTTGATGGAATTAGAATGTAGAAAAAAAACTATTATTTGTATATCTGATGTCTTAAATGGAAAACTATAGTTAGGAAAATGCTTGTATCATCTAGGGCATCACACATATAATCAGATCTCTTCTCCTCCCCCCCTTGTAGAATTCTTCAATATTGATGATCTTGCCAATCCAATGAGTTTCCTTATCGAAGCGTAGGGGCTAGCCCACATGCACGGCCATCACCACCCTGCGCCAATGAGCATCCTCTCATAGAGATGCCTCTCTATGGGGAGTGTTCAGTGCCTTCATGTAGATTGCAGGGCAGAACCAGTATGCCCCTCTAGTGGCTTAGTGAGTGACTACCACTAGAGGTGGCGGTACACAGCAATTCTCAGAACAGGCATTGTTTAGACTGCATAAACCGCATTAACTTGCAGTGGGTCTGGTGCTTGAAGTGCCCTTTCTATTGAGTACTAGACTTAAAAAGAAAAAAAATAGGCAACATAATTCTTTAAATGACACAAGGCAGGAAGACAATTTCTCTTAGAGAACACATTACAGGAGCCCATTGATTATTGCTCCTGAATCACAACATATATTATCATCCTCACCTTATAGAAATGCTTAATTAAATAAATTCTCAGAAGATACCTGGAATTAATCTATAAGTTCATACCTCACCCATATCTGTAGGGTGTTTTTCCACAGTTTAAAATAAAAATGTGAGATATCACAGCCATGTAAATATGAATGAAAATATACACCTGTATATAATGCCTTGTACATATCCTGAAAATATATTAAAGAAACACTCCATTGCCCAAATACAAAATAAATAAATAAAAATCGCTGTTTATTAGATATACCCATATGAAAACATGCATGCATTTAATTATGTTTTTTTCCCCATTGGAGGTATATCTAAAAACAGCTGGCAAAAAGCTCAAGTGTAAAAAAAAAAAAAAAAAAGAGAGATTTCTGGCACCTGCTCTTTGTATATGTAGCAGCTTGAAGTTCCCAAACCAGAGTCTCTCCCCTCTCGTCGTAGGTGAGAGTAGATGAGGGAATGCCGGGAAGTAGTGCTTTCAAATAAAGTCCTTATTTCCAGAATTCAGTGGAGCAGTATGAAAAATAGAAGGGATAGAAACTCAAATATAATTGCAATTACACTTTTCTGGAGCTCGAGATCACTGCACCTGGATGGTACAACCCCCATCTGTGGGGATGTGTAGATGGCCCTGATCTTAAAAGAAGAGGTGTTTTTGGGCCAGTAATTAGCATTGTATGGTCAGAAGCAGTAGTAGAACTGTTTACATTCAGTGGTTTCTGATGAGGCAGTAGATAATGCTCCAGAAATATAGGGAAATATATAAAAACAGGAAATAGTGTTGTCAGTGATAAAATGATAAAATAATAAAAGGAGACATACTCACAAAGGAAGAGCAAATAAGTATTGCTCAATCCTAAACAGTATAGGTGGTATGTTCCCCACCAAGGAATGTGATATGCAGCGTCGTCCAGATAAAATCCTCAAGGATACAGATCGTAAGGTCCAGGAATTAATAAAAAAAAAATGTTTTATCAATGAACAAGATTATAAAAACAAAAAATAACATAGAATGCTTATAACACACTAATGTGTTTCACCTGTATAAAGGCTTTTTCAAAGTGTTACAGTGCTAAGGACCTTCACTGTTGAAATAGCTCTAAAATTCCCATCATCTGACCATCTATTTAGGTCTACCACGCTGCTATTGGTGGAAAGGTCAACCATACACACTATGCCTTTTAATAGGGGACAGGCCTTCCTGTTCCATCAATGCTGTTAGTAAGTCAGCCAAACCAACAGATTAGCCCTGGTTGAGAGGTTTAATATGCCACTGGTCTGCATTGCCGTTTTGTTTGTTGGTCTTTTTATACAGATGGTTACCGATTCTTGATGTTTAGTAACTTCTTTATGAGTGTATTCTTTCCTTTATTTTAGTTTGGTGAATCAGCCCCTGCCAGGCTCCAGGGTAATGGAGTGTATATCCCCAGAGACCTCTATTACATTAAGTGGATTGCATATGGTGGCAAATATGTTTTGGTAATTGTGCCTTTGTGGGATAGAATTGGCCTCTATTACATGGACTCCTAGTATTTTTAGTTCTTTGACAGGCTACTCCCCATCTGCTTATTTCGTGTATACAAAAATTGATTTTCTAGCAAAGCTGCAGAATCTCTACTTGTCCTGTTTGTGACATGGGTTATTTGTTTTTCTATCACACAAATATTCCACCACCAACAAGAAACATGTTATTAGAAATACATTATATTTAATGTTTACATTGTGGAAGCCAAGCTGCCGCAAAAGTATATGATAGATTTTTTATTTTTCTCATCCTTTGTTTCTACCTTAATTATACAAATTCAGAGTGTCTACGGGTGTCTATACACTGCAGATGTAGCAATATTCATTCCACAAATCTTTGCATACACTTACATGCCTGGAATGGTGTGGTATCACATGGTATTTGGGGGCTGCAGGAGAAGAAAACTACTTAATTGATAACTATAATATCTCCCTCCTGATCTTGCGTTTTTTTTTTTTTTTAAGTTGGTGCATTATAGCCTTGTTATTTTATGTTCATTCTTTATGACTTTTTTTGTTAATTGTTTGTTTAGCTAGAGTTACTTCTTTCACTGATAGTCTTGTAAATT